GTAGAGCAATGTCCAGCTCACAGCAAAACTGAGCAGAAGGTACAGAGTTCCCATACACTCCCTGCCCCACCCCCACAAAAGCTCCTACTGTCCACCCCCCTCACCACAGCAGTATGTGTGAGATCCTCGCTGGGCCTACAATAACACATTGTCAAAGCCCATAGGGTAACGGGAAACACTGGTCACGCTAATTCTAAGTAACTCAGCGCCGCGGCCCCGCACACGCCCGCGTGGGGTAAGCCTCCGCTGCCAGACGCGGGCAGGCAGACGGCGGCCCGCTGACGGCCCCGCGGGCCTCCGCTCCTGTCCCAGAGGACAGTGCACCCCGACGCGCTCACGCCTAACGCCACAAAGCAGCTCCGGGCGCGGTCTGAGACCTGCTGACAGCGCAGTCCCCACTGGCACCCCATTGGCAGCGGCGATCCTAGGGAATCACGGCCCAGACGGGACGCTCTCGGTCTTTACCTTTCATCACAGCCTGAAGCGAGGCAACCTCTTCTCTCCACTGTCTTTTCACTTCGTCGATTGCTTCCTGCTTGGTGTTCTCAGAGACCGTGGCGATGGCCTTGATGTTCTCCACCTCTGCCTGGGCTTCCCACAGCTGCGTCCGCAGCTGCCCCAGGTCGTCCTGCGCCGCCTGCAACACCGCATTCTGCCGCTTCAGGTCCTCTGGGGAGAGAGTAGAAGCCTTTCCGTTAACGAAGGTTCGCGTGGATCGGGCTGACATCCCAAGGAAGAGAGAAAGCATTACGTTTATGATGTTACCACTCTAAGGAAGAAATGGAGCCCTGAATTTTAAAATGTTAACTTAGAAAATGAACATTTTTTTAAAAGGTTTTAGGGAGAGAGAGAGAGAGTGCGCGCACGCACACGAGTGGGGGGAGCAGGCAGAGGGAGAGGGAGAAGCAGACTCCGCGCTGAGCACGGAGCCCGACGCCGGGCTCGATCCCAGGACCCTGAGATCATGACCTGGGCCAAAACCAAGAGCCAGACGCTCAACTGACTGAGCCACCCAGGCACCGCCAAAATGAAATTATTTTAATAAAGACAAAATTTAAGGTATGCACGGTATCACTAATCCATTACTTGTTAATTATCCAACCAGAGAATGACTAAGGCCATAGTTTTAAAGCTAAATTGAGGCTCTTTCACCCACCGGCTAATGAACTTATTTAATCTCTCTGGCCTCAGTTTCCACATCTACAAAACAGGGATTAAAAACAGCCATCTTAGAAGGCTGCTTTAATGATAAAACAATTTATTGAAAATGCTTATTAGTACAACACTTGCACAAAGTAAACATTCAAGAAACCATTAACAGAGGAGGAAAAAAAGCCAGAGTACACAGCAGCTATACAAGATCAAGGATTTTTTACAGTCAGGATGAATTTTCCCCACACCCCTTTACCACCTCTTAAAATATGAAGTTCATCTGATGTGCCAGTTGCAGGATTTAAGCCCAGGTAGGGCGTATGTTTGGCCAAATGGACTCCTGCACAGGGTGAGCCTGCCAACAGTGTGTGGGGCTCGGTGGGCCTGTTCCCTGTACACTTACCAACAGTCCCTGTTCTCCACCTCTTAAAACCCTTGCCAACGTCATGGGGAGAAGCTGGTGACAGCTGTCATCTCTATTCCCCCTCAGCAGTGAGGCTGAGTATCTTTTTATACAGTTATTAATGCCCGTGTTTCTTCTTTGGTGATAGCCTTTCCCTGGGCTTCTAATGAACCGACTTTCCTCCGACTGGGAAGAGTATTTTACATACACCGAATACTGACTCTACTTTCTTAGAAAGCTCTCCCAGTCTGCTCTTAACTTACACTTCCATGTCTTTCACCATCTAAGTTAGAAGAGATTTATGCAGAAGAACCGTGCATCTTTATGCAAAGTCATCGATTTCCTTTACAGACCGCAGTAACTGAGCTGCTGGGCCAGGAGAGCAGTCTGACTTACAACCTGACCCTGTTACCGGCCGCCGCACGACGTGAAGGAACCCTACAGCCCTCAAGCTGGGACAGCGGCGACACTCCTCGGCATGGATTTCTAAGTACTCGAAAAAATCAAATCAATAATATTGAAGAACTTTTCAACATCGTGAGGACATTCATCATTCTCAAACACGCAGGAATTAAGTTTGGCAGTCTGGGTAACGGGAAACACTGGTCACGCTAATTCTAAGTAAAGTCATTCAACATCTGTTTCACGTTGCTTCGGCACTGCTAGTAAAACGTTCTGGGGGCGCCTGGGTGGCTCAGTCGGTGAAGCGTCCGACTCTTGGTTTCAGCTCAGGTCGTGATCTTGGGGTGGAAGAATAGAGCCCCACAGGCTCCAGGCTCAGCGGGGAGTCTGCTTGAGATTCTCTCCTCTCTCTAGCCTGAGAAAGTGATAAGAACATTAACTGCAGAAAGGAATGCCTTTTTAGAAGGAAAGACAGACAGGTAGGAAACAGTGAGGGGCTGCGTGGTAGTGACCCCGAGACTAAACACACAAAGCCACCGAAGGAAAGCTGTGTGTGTCAGCTCCACATTCTGAGTGTGAAAGTGTTTTGTAAAATGTGAAATAAAAGAAAAAGCCTTATCTTTGGAATACCTCATTCGTTTCTGAGAGCTACAATTTTGTCGAGGCTCAAGCCTGTACCCTCACACCTGCTCATGCTGATTATCCCCGCTCCTTTTTACTTCCTGGAAATTACCCAGAGCTATATATACACTATCGTGTCACTGTGAGCAGAAAAGCTGCAAGTACCAAGCCTAAATACGAACCTGTGGCATGTTTCCACAGAGTTAAAAGCAGTACAGAGGGCCTGAAGGAAGACCAGGTCCAATTTTGTTCCTGACTTGCTTTATGCATATTTAGATCAGATCTATTTATATGCTACATATTAACTTATATATATTTAAATGAGGAAACAGAAGTTAAAAGTTAGAAAAACCACATTTTCTGTACCAAAACATTTCAAATCTGTTTGCCAGTGGAACAAGTTATTATTAAAGAACAGTTATTTATCCATTCTGGTTTTGTATATGTAGTGATAAAGATTTTCAAACATGCTTTGAAACTGAGAATCTAGTAAGACAATCTTTCACGTACCCATCGCCAAGATGCACCAAGATCTGGCCCCATTTATTTCAACCATCCTTTTTCTATGAAGTATTTTGAAAATAAGCCCCAGAAACAATATAACATCGTCTAACATACTACAACATGCATCTCTAAAAACATGGATACTTCCTTATACAAACACAGTGCTGCTGTCACCCCTAACATGTTTGATACCATCTAATACCCACGCTGTAGTAAAATTTTCTCCAACTGCCACAAAAATGTCTTTTGGAAGATCTGCTTGAATTAGGACCCAAACAAGACACTTTTATTTGTTTATACTAACACTTTATAGACTACTTCAAACACAGAGACAAATATACAGAACTCTGTAATGGACACTTACTACCTATCACCTAGTTTCATCATTTTTTCTTAAGGTGTTATTTTTAAGTCATCTCTACACCCAATGTGGGGCTCGAACTCATGACCCCGAGATCAAGAGTCACGTGCTCCACTGACTGAGCCAGCCAGGTGCCCGAGCTTCATCAATTTTTAATATTACTGTTACTTCTGCTTCAATTTCTTTTTAAGAAATAAAACATTACAAACGCCCCACCTCCCTCAGAAGTAACAACTATCAGGAATCTGGAGGTATCACGACCATGCGTATTTTACACCTACACTCTCTTGCAGGTTTTTGAACCTTAATGCTCTCACAGCCTGGTACCCTTCTGCAATCACCTCTATTCCTCAACACCGCTTCTGAGATTGTTAATCCACGTAACTACCTCACTCGTTAACAGCAACACCGCACTACCAATACATCGGCTCTCACCTTCGTGGGCACGCAGGTGTGGAATACGAATCTACCTTTTCCATACGGATGTTCCCATTTTTATAACGCCATCTACACTATCTAGCCTAATACAGCAGTATTTGTACTATTTCATCTACTCTTGTACACATACAAGGTTTTCCATCATAGTTTAATAAAAACGCCATAGTTTTGAATGAAGTGGGGAGATGCCCCCTACCAGATTCAGAAGTTATTATTATAAGCCTCATGAACCCGCTACCCAGCGCCAGCAATCACAGACCTATGGGTAGTCTTGCCCCATCCCCCCATGTGCAATCCACAGCACACTATGATGAGACAAGTCTCAGACATTTTTTTAAACTAATGAACTTTATTTTGTAGAGCAATGTCCGGCTCACAGCAAAACTGAGCAGAAGGTACAGAGTTCCCATACACTCCCTGCCCCACCCCCACAAAAGCTCCTACTGTCCACACCCCTCACCACAGCAGTATGTGTGAGATCCTCGCTGGGCCTACAATAACACATTGTCAAAGCCCATAGTCTACATTAGGATAATGTATAATGACAAGTATCTGCCACTGTGAATCATACAGAAGAGCTCCACTGCCTAAAAATCCTCTCTGCTCTATTCATTCCTCCTTCCCTCCTAAGCCCTGGCAATCACTCATCATTTTACTCTCTCCATAGTCTTGCCTTTTCTAGGATGTCTCATAGTTAGAATCCTATAGTATGCAGTCTTTTCTGATTAGCTTCCTTCCCCTGATGGCTCCATCTTTTTTATGCTGAATATTCCACTGTCTGGATGTACCAGCTTATTTGTTCACCTACTAAAGGGCATCTTGATTGCTTTCAAGTTTGGGCAATTATTAGTAAATATGTGCAGGTTTTGCATGGATAGGAGTTTTCAATTCATTCAGGTATATACTAAGGAGGAAAACTGTTGAATCACGTTAGCTAAGAGTATGTTTAGTTTTGTAAGAAACTGCCCAACTACCTCCCAAAGTGACTATACCATTTTGTATTCCCACCAGCAATGAAAGAAAGTTCTAATTGCTGTACATCGTCATCAGCATCTGGTGAGGTCAAGTGTTTTAGATTTGGGCCATTATAATAGATGCGTAGTGATATCTGTTTTAATATATTCACAGACTTAGGCAACCATTACCACAATCAATTTTGGAACATTTTAACCCCCCAGAAAGAAACCCAGTGCTCTTTATCACCTCCCAACTCTCTAGCCCCCCAGTATCAAGCAACCACTAATGGACCATCTACCTACTCTGGATGTTTCACAGAAACGTAATCACACGTGATCCTCTGTGACTGGCTCGTCACTCAGCATGACATTTTCAAAGCTCATCCCTGCTGTAGTGTCAGGACTCCATTCCTTTTTATGCAGGAATAATAAAAATATGTCCATTCATCAGGTGACATTTGAGTTGTCCCCACATTTTGGCTATTGTGAATAATGCTGCTACACACTTTCTCATCTCTTGTATATATACGTAGGAGTGAAATTCTGGGTCAAGTGCTAACTCTATGTTTAACCATTTTAAGAACTGAAAGACTACTTTCAGGCGCCTGGGTGGCTCAGTTGGTTAAGCGACTGCCTTCGGCTCAGGTCATGATCCTGGAGTCCCAGGATCGAGTCCCGCATCGGGCTCCCTGCTCAGCAGGGAGTCTGCTTCTCCCTCTGACCTTCCCCCCTCTCATGCTATCTCATTGTCTCTCAAATGAATAAATAAAATCTTTAAAAAATAAATAAATAAAAATAAAAATAAAAAATAAAAAGGAAGGACTACTCTAAA